TTTGTTTGTTTTTTGGTACCAAGGATTGAACCCAGGACTGCTTAACCACTGAGCCACATCCCCAGCCCCAGCCCTTTTTATTTTTGACTTTGAGACAGGGTCTTGCTAAGTTGCTTAGGGCCTCAGCAAGTTGCTGAGGCTGGCTTCAAACTTGTGATCCTCCTGCTTCAGACTCCTGAGCTGTTGGGATTACAGGCTTAAGCCATCATGCCTGGCTGTTTGAAGTATGGATATTGGGGAAATCTTGTAATAATGGCATTTGTTATTTTTGCCACCCACTATTCCTTTATGTCATTTCAGTGAAACTATGTCCCACTTCCTCTGGCCAGGGGGATGGAAGGGCTGTCTTTTCTTCCTTTCTTGGTCTGTGTGCTGCTGGTGTGCAGGACATCCACCCTAGGAGTGCAGGGCTTGTCCCTGGCTAACACTAATTAGTACCTCATGTGCCTCTGGACCAGTAGAGGGGAGAACATGTTTGGGGCATATATTGGGCTAATTAATGTTTGTTTGAAAAGTTAAAGGAAGAGAGGATCTCTGTTTCCTCTTGGAGGATCAATGCAAAACTCCTAGAAGCTGTCACATATAGCTTGAGAATGACACCAACACAGCAAAGGTGGGGCCCAAAGGTGGGGAACACACAGGTCTTGGTAATGTGGTGGGAACCTGAATCTAGCAGGACATGACGTTCTTACTAGCCAGGGTCTTCTTTTCTTTTCTGTTTTCTTCTTTTCTTTTTGTAAGTACTGGGGATTCAGCACAGGCCTACATAAGCTAGGCAAGTGCTCTACATAGAGTTATATCCCCAGCCCTTTTAATATTTTAAATTCTGAGACAGAATCTCAGTAAGTTGCCCAGGTTGGCCTCAGACTTGCAATCTTCTTGCTTCAGCCTTCCAAATACTTGGGATTACATGTGTGCCCCGTGGTGTTTGGTGAGTTTTTACTTTTTGAATTCGGCTAATGCTTGGAACTAGGTGATTAACTGAACTTTTCCAAGGTTCTCCCAAATCATGTCTATATTTCATTGATCCTCCATAGGAAAAAATTGGGAGCAAAAACCCAAAAAAGTCATAGAGAACATCAGTGGACAGTGTTGTACACACATGAAAACTGGTTTCCCCCAAAAACAAATTAAATAAAAACTAATTTAATTCAATTAAATCAATAATTATTGAGTATCTGTAATGGGCTGGGTACTTGTTCTGTGGAATAGACATGTGTGCAACAAAGATAGCAAGTTGATTAGGAAAAAAAAAAAAGGCTTTCATAGAGCAAAGGATGTGGATAATTCCCTAAATAGGGAAGAGCCTAAAAAAAAATATATATGATCAAGTAGAGATTAAAACCAAGAAAATTTCAGGTTCATTGCATGCTTGTAATCCCAGCTACTAGGTGAATGACACCCTGTCTCAAAATCAAATAAAAAGGGTTGGGGGTATAATTTAGTAGTAGACACTGCCTAGCATGCACAAGGCCTTGGGTTTGATCCTCAGTACAAAACCCATTCCCACAAAAAATCAAAACCATGAAACTTAAAACCACAGTGAGATAGTTTTGATGATTAAATTAACAAGGATTATGAATGGTGATGTTATTTACTATCTGAAAATCCAGGGACATAAGCATGCTGCAAACTGCTGAGTACAAACTGATATAACTTTTCTGAAAAATAAGTTGACAATATACTTTATTTATGTATTTGTGTGGTGCTGGGGATAAACTCAGGGCCTTGTGTATTTGAGGCAAATGCTCTACAACTAAGCTACATCCCCAGCCCAGGCAGTACACAAGAACCTTAAAAATGTTTACATTCTTTGATATGCAATTCTGTTATGAATAATGTTGACCAAGATTTATATAAAGCATATTCATTGCAATAGTATTTCCATAACTAGGGAAATGTTAAGTATTGGTACAGCCACTTGATGATTAGAAATTATGCAAAATCTAAGAATGAAATTGAAGATGCTTCTTTTAAAAAAATGTTTTTTTCAGTTTGTAATATCTTAACAGGGTATAAAACCCAAGGTCCAAAAAGACAAAGTGAAAAGTTAGGACTCCCTCCGTCCTGTGTCACTGAGCCCCTAGCCCCTGCCTCAGAGGGAACCATTCAAAGCACATGTCTATTCTTTCATCTCCCTATTCAAATGGCAGCTTGTTTTGTATCTTGCCGGCCCCCCCGCCCCCGCCTTAGTAATATATATCATAC